CCACACCAAAAATCTGCAGCTCACGCGTTAAGCCCAACACCACATTCGTGCAGCACGTGCGTTTCACACCACGCGTGGCAGAAAAGCTGCTATGGTAAACATGGTCTAGAAGAGCTCCCTTGACCATTAATTCAGGTATGTTACAACACGCAAGTTGATCTTGCGACTGTACGACACCTACGTGGCATCTGCTCATCAGTGATACCTCTCTGCTCCAGGAGTTTCAACTCAGGCAAGCGTGCCCGCTTTTGCAGAGCCCTTCTGTTGCCAACGCTTGCTGACCCTTGCCTTTTACTTACGCATTTCTCAGCCAGGCGTTAGCTTGGGAACCTGCGCTGGGGACAGTGCATTGGCAGCGGGACGTCTAGGCGGGAGCAGGTCAGAGCAAGACTATGGGGGAGGCAGCTCTGGCAAGGACAGGCGTTAGCCTTAAGGCAAGGGGGTGTTTGGGAGCCCCTCGCTATAGAGGGGGATTGAGGGGGTTAACAATGGGTGTGGGACCATGCCCTTTCATAGGACATGCATTACTGGGCAACTGGGACTGTCCTACTGGAGGAAGGGGAAGGCAGGGCATGCAATGGATTCCTCTTCAGGGTTGGTTCTCACAGAAATGCAGGAGGCTGCCATTCTGCGCTCGGCTCAGCCTGTTACGCTGGGTCATTTCAGGGGCTTGGAACAGCGGATGGCCTGGCATTCCACATGCCCTGCCACACCAAGACGCAACAAGGCGACTTAAGGATGTGCAGCCTGATGCACCAGCGCTCTTGGTGCACTTGGCTTTGGGTGGTTTAAATGAACTTCGGAATCTTTTCTTACAAGAGACTCCCATGCGGAGAGGGCGGGGAGGAAGTTTTAGTTCGAAAGCTTAAAGCACACGTGTTGCTTGTTCCCACGTTCCCAGAACTTCCACTGAGATCAAACTGGAAGTCTTTTCTTGGACTTGCCAGTTTGCTCGTCTTGTGCTTTACAACTGAAACATCCCTCCTTCCCAGCACTGCCGTTTGCTTATCGACGGGCCTTGGTTTCCTCTCCTGTTTTAAGTAGTTCCTGTAGGTCTAGGCTGATCTTCAAGGAAAAACACTATTAGAGCAAGTGGCTCTGCCTAATATTTACAGTATTGAAATGGATCCCTATGCACTGGCAGTGCCAACGGAGTATTAGTGGAACTGAAAGAATGTCTAGCGTTCGTCTTAGCTCTCTGCAAACGGGGCTTTTCAGCTGACAAATGTGCAGTTCTAGGCAGAACTGTGGGACTGAGGCAGGCGGTCAGAGCGCAGGCGAGCTGGTAACACCTTGCGTTAGGACTCGGGTTGTAACTTGCCGTGACGGGGGCATAGCCGTTACATGCATAGGAGCTGGACTTGTATCAAATTAGACAAAACAAGGCCGCTGGCATTAGAGGACAGACAGACACTTCCAACTAACCCTGAAAACCACAGAAATAGCAAGCTCACTTGCTAGGCTAGCCTTCAGCGTTCGGGTCTTACCTGGGCTGAGTACTTGGCCCGGAGCCTGCCTGCTTCGCAGCCCTTGTCACAAACCCGGATCTGCCTGGCTTGCTCCAGTTCCCTCTTCAGTCGTATCCGAGACTCATTGGCTTCCTTCATTTTCTTCTCATTCTCAGCTCTCAGACGTTCAATCTCTTTCCTTAAGTTGCGCTTCGCCTCCGTTGCTTCTCTCAGTTTCTCTTTCTTAGCCACTCTTAGGAACTCCAGCTCCTAGAATACAAAAGCAGGTAACGTGTGAGAGCCGAGACGACGTTAGTGCAAGGAAACAGAACTGCAAAGGGCGCGATCCAAACTGAATTCCCGCCTTCCGTTGGTTACGACCGAGAAGGCTCACGTCTAAACCTCGTTCTGGACTTTGTACAAGCTCTTCTCCTTTAAATCAACGTGAGATCCTATGCTCAAGATACCCCGAGTTCTCGGATAATAAAAAGCTATATGCTACAGCCACATTTTGCTTTGTCAAGCAAAATAGCTGTGACCATCTGTGACTGAATAAAGATGAACTGCAGTTGGAGAGAGCTGCTAGCGCTGCGCTCTGCACTAGCTCGAAGTTTCAAACAAACCAACCGTAATGCCTGCACTTTAATTGAAGACACTGAAGATGCACTACGTTATGATAAACGCAATTTGTGAATGCCCTTTGTGTACAGCAAAGAACCAGAAAGTTTACTACTTGCTGAAGAAATCAGTAAGCAGTTCTATTTTATCAAGCCCCCAAAAAATCCACTTAAGGCAAGTATGAGAAAAAACAAACTGTGTGTCTTCTTTCTGACTCCAGGCAATTTTGTTTTGCTGTAGGTCACTAGTGTGTAGTCCTGAGTCTCTTGGCAACCAGCCAACGGACTGCTCTGTCACAACATCTGGAAAACTCCAGGCTAAAACCTTAAGCTAAATCGAAACCATGCTTTGCTCTGGAAATTGCCACTCCCGCTGTCTGGGTTCTTAATAGGAGCTGCTACCTTGAGATCTGAAATCCAAGCGAGCGCCATTAATTGAAGTGATAATGATAAAGCACCTAAAGGTACAAAGGAAGAAACTCGTAAGTTTTTCAAAAGCCGTTGTTAGAAGACACGTCCATCCCAGGCACAAACCGCGGCTCACTGAAGGTCTGTCTCCTAAACGGTTAAATTAGAAACTAAAGTTCGATTCCCCCCCGCCCCCACAAGCAGCATTTCCTCCTCTCTGTCAGAGTCAACCCCTCACAACGTGCTTCTGCGAAGTAACGCAGCAGTCGGGTCATGGGAAATTCACTCTTCTGACGATCTCACTTCCCAGCCAGGCCATCGTTAGCTCAGCCCGGCCTCTGGAAGCCGGCACGCGCGCGCCTTCTCCCTGCGTGGAACTGGAAGGCCAGAGCTGCCCAAATGGAACATGATGGCCAGACACCACATTCCCGCCCACCCTGACACGTTGCTTGATTCAATGCCTCAACGCTCAGTTCTGCTTCATCACCTGCTGCATGTGAGTCCTGCTCTACTTGAAATACACACTGTGTATTTAGTTTTGATATCTGAAAATTAGCTTTAAATATATATCACTTATAAATATTTACTTTTGATTACATAAAAGAAAACGTGTATTTACTGAAACACAAGGGAATGAAGTGATTTGCTGCAGGTGACAATGAACGAGCAGTTCAGCTGAGAAGCCGGCTCGCAGCCTTCCCTTCCCTGGGGCCTGGACCTGCAGCTGGTCCGTAAGGAGCCGTCTTCACCGGAGGCGTGCAGCGCAGAACCTGCCCTGCTACGCTGCAGCTCTTGCAGAACTCTGAGCGGGCAAACTTGTGTTAAAATTCTAATTGTGATCATATCTACGCACTTAATACAATCTCTCTCTCACCTCCTCCTGCCTGCTAGTAGAACACTTGAATCTGCTACTGGGGTTTCGAGGACTGGGGGTTTTTGGTGTTTTTTAAAACACAGCAGTCATACTGCACACCAATCACTTCTGTGAGCTACTGTCCTTCGTTTCATTCCCCAAAGAAACAAACGGCACCGTGCCAGCTAGCACCACTGCATCCCTGCTTTTGACCAACGGTGCAAGTGCCGGTTTTCCATCTCCCAGGCTAGATGAAACGAGGCCCTTCCTTCAGAGCTGGCACCCCAGATGCATCTAATGGACGGCATTTCTAGCTTGGTTACAGCTCCACGTACAATATTCAAAGTGGACGTGCAAATCTTCCGCACTGGCTCTACCTTCCATTTCTGTGCACCGCTTTTGCCCCAGCTCCAATAACAAACAGTTCACCCGCCGTTCTGTTCAGCCACCGTGATTTGCTGATGGCCAGAACATCTCTGCAGCTTTTTTTGTCTGACCACTCTTTCTTTGGTATGACCGATGTATCCAGGCTTTCCCGAAAGAAGGAGCTTCCTCCACTGAACGAAGCAAGAAACATTCAGTGAAGCACGGCTAACGGAAAGCTCACCAAAGATCTGTAGTCCAGCTCTTCATCAGAGCTTCAGCGAGTCTTCCTGTGTCCCAGGAATACCCTCCCTCAGCTGGGCAATGGCAGGATTTTAAAAAATCTTTTAAAACTACAGATAAAGCCTACATAAGGACAGAAATGTTTCTAGTTCAGTGAAATGAAAACAAAATAAACTGTGCTGGACTAGAAGATTTTTTCAGTAATGAAAAGATGTTGATTTTGGTAACCATGGATTTACACCCTAAGGCAAAAACAGGTGGCAGGCTTAAAAAATGTAGGAATGGTTCCTGTACACTTTGGTTTCCTGGCTGAATTCACAAACAGTACCCCAGCGAAGGCTGTTGCTATTTGGCAAAAATGAGGCAATTCTGTTTCACATGAGACTACCCAAAGGTAGTCCGCAGACAGCGGTAAGACAAAGCTGCTTTTCAACATTACCTGATGTAGACTGCGTTTGGCTTGCAAGGCAGCGTTTAGCTTCTCTTCCTGCTTCACTCTCATTTTAACAACCTCATGGAGGAATTTTTCTTTGGCTTCTTTTGTATCTAGGCCGCTGTCCAGGGCCTGCCTTAGGTGCTCCAGCTCAGCTTCCAACCCGCTGCTGTGAGAGTCAGAATGTGTTGCAACCTCGTATGAACTGCTGACTGTGACCGGGGCCTGCATCCCAGGTGAGCTCATGTCCTTTGCAGAGCTGGATGAAGTAAAGGATGGGGAGGAGAGCGAGGATAAGGAGGAGGTGACTGAAAAATAAAAACGCCGAAAATTAATAAAAAAATGTCTAAACCAAACAGAACTCAAAATACGCTGAGGCTCTTTCGTACAGAGGAGATACTCAACAGTCAATGAAAAACGCGGAAGAAAGAAAATACTCATTTGATACTCTGATACTTGAAATGTGAGGAAAACGCAAACCTGACTGACTTAAGGGACCACCTTGCCATTTGCCTGAATTGTGACTGTGGAATTCACGTCACAAACAGGGTTTTCTCCATGGCTGTGAAGAAACAGATTTCTTCTAGGAAACCTACGTGATCCTGCCGTTCTCAGTGGGTACAATTTCTTCTTTTTGCATAAACTGTCTGCACGGAGTGAAGACTGAACGTACTGAGGGCAGCAGCAGAATTCTCTACGTGACGTTAATGAGGTGGTACCAGTGTCTGCCTTCATCTTTTCCCGAGAGGCCCAGTATCGGAATACCGTTTAAGAACACACTGGCCCTTGGATCTCCGCTGTATGCATTCAGCTCCACGGATGCAGTACTGAAACTGCGTGACCGCATTCTTTGCCTGACACAAAATTCCACACGTGTGCGCGCTCTGGAATTTTTATGGGCTATTTGTGTGTATCCCACAACGGCTTTTATAGAAGGCTCTTGATCAGATAGCGAACCATCGGTTTTTATGTGACCACCACATGCATTTTGTCCTCTGCACAACACTTACCTGCTTTAAAAAAAGGCTCTAGGTTAGTGGACACCTGGGGTTCAGGTGCTTCTTTTTGTCAATGCACGTTCCCTTCCCAGGAAAACACCCCCCCCCAACTCCTGTTCCATTCTTGGCTTTCATTATTACTTAAGGCTGTATTTTCTTACATCCCACTGAGGTATTAGGCTTCCAGGATTATATTTAATCACAACAGAAGTTGAACAGCTAACTTCCTGTGGACTACCGAGGAAAATCCACCACAAATAAAACAAAATAAAGGCGGATGTAACCGTCACTTACATTCTTCCCTGGTTTCTACTTCAATTTCTGCTTCCGATTCCTTATCCTCTTCAGTGGCAGTAACAGTGGCCGCAACAGTGGCTGCTGCTTCTGGGATAGCCGTGTTCTCTGCGGCAAGTTTTCTTTTCCGTGGCTGGACAGTGCTGCTCAGTGGCTCGCTGCTCCGTGATACTACTGTGGCACAGGGCGGGTTGCTGACGATCTTCTGTTGGGCTGGAGGTGCAAGTGCCACATTGGGGGCCACAGCATTCTCAAAGCTTTTGTAGGAGTAAAAACTGGTTTAGAGGGGGAGGCAAAAGGAAGGAGAAAACAGTCATATTCTTGGCTTCAAAATGCTTCCCAACCCATGTGCTACACTGAAACTGCAAGACGCTTACTGGAACGACAGTGAAGTTCCATTGATTTACACCAGCTAAGAATGTGCCTGTGCATTTGCTTAGCATTTTGCGCTCATTTAATCATGGAGATGATTTACGCAGCTAATCTCCATCCAGTTCAGAAGGGATCATATTCAAAGTGCCACATATTCTAAGAGCACCAAAGAGATGAGATCTCCCAGAGTCTAAAAATTATAATGTTGTTCCGTCATGATCTTCATGCATTAGTGTTTTACCTAATTGCGCGGTTTTACTTCTGTCTATCCACAAATGTTTTGTAAACTTGGAAACGGCACTTCCTGAAGAAAGGTCATGGCAGTGCAAAGAGCATTTAATTTTTTGACACAGCATGCATGTGAGTGCATGTATGTAAAACCACAGTTAAAAAACTCAACAAACCTATGTTAAAAGACAGTAAAATTGTAATATCAAATACACAGAGTTTTGCAAAAAACATAGCAAAGACTGTCTTTACAACTTCAATTCAGCATCTACAACATGATGTGCCTTCAGTCATGTATTAAAATTTCTCCTGAGCCTGCTGAAGGGGGCTTTTTTCCCAAGACTTACACTGGCCCGATTTCTCACAGGGATGCCAAGAGCATACTCTTACACCAGTTTAGCCCTTCTCTCCCCACCTAACTGAAAAGTCTGCTTAGAAGCAAGGTTATGCTGGTAGGCTTTCTTTTTGTTTTTTTTAATGGATCCCCACAGCTTCTAAGAAACTTGTTCATAAGGGCAGCAAAATATGTTCTCTGTAGCGCTCCCTAAAAACACCTGGCCACTTCAGTCAAACTTTCCAAAGAAACCATTGCCCTTAGGCAGAAATCTGGCACAAAGATTTTTCAGACCGAAGAGTTCAAGTCTGGCAAAGGAATGTATAATTGCCCTGACACTTCCCGTTCTAACTGTGACACCAGCAGTCCCACCTATTATGGGTGGTGACTCATTCTTGTACCAGTTTAATTACGTTCCTATCTACGAGCACAATCTGCCCCGTAACATCAGCTTTCTGACGGGTCTTACAAGCTGAGGAGCCTTCGCAGGCTCTCCTGCCCGGCGTGCTCTGCCAGGACCCCGCAGGCCATCGAGAGGGAACGGGGCAGCCCGTGCTCCCGCTCAGTCCTCCGCCTTCCTACGGCACGGTCAGTGCAGGAGGCAGCACGCAGCCGCGTTGGCAGCGCGCTGCCCGGCCAGCATGCCGTCACCAGCTGGCAGCGGCTGGCTGGTCCCTGACCACCTGCCCTAAGAGTCCTTTAAACGGTGAAGCCCGAGAACTTCTGATGACTGTACCCCAAAACGATCCTAGGTTCATAGAAGCAGCCTTCATTTCAGACTTTTATGGCATGTTTCACCTAAGAAAACCTATTTCACGAATGCACAAAATTTCAGTGCTTTTTTTGTTTCCCTTCTGCAAATCAAAACACTGCAGCTGCAAATGCTTTCTAATCTGACACGAGTGGACCGACTGACTGAATTACAAAGCCACCAGTTAACAGTGCACGGGAACAAACATGAAGCAACTTGCTGTCCAATAAATCTCCACGGCTGCTAGCCCCGGTCTCCCTGCAGTTCATGTCTCACCTGTCTCGGATCAATGCGGGAAGATGGGTTGAGAGCTCCTTCTCATTTGCCGATACAGCAGGGGACCAGGGCCGGAAAGCTGAGAGACGCTGGCGGGGATGGACACAGCCAATACTCTGGGGAGGAGGGGGAAGAAAAATAAGTAAACACAAACAATCTTTTAAGCTAGAAATCACAACGGAGTGCTAGCGATGCTTTTCGGTACACATTCTGTTACCTCTAAAACTACTCCCCCACTGGCTCGGACCTACCCGCTTAGTAGGTTCCACTGGAAGAGGTGAACTGTGCTACTGTAAAACCTGACATGTTTTTTCTTTGCCAATAAGTTATATGTAGTTTGCAGAGACCACAAAAGGCTCCTGAGTCTTTGAGGATTCTTGTACCTCAAAGGCATGAAGGAATTGCCTACTTCATTGTCACAATCAAGGTCAGTGAACACTGGAAGACGGCAAGGAAACTGGGAGGACTGTATAGCTCAATGTTTACTAGGAAAACGATAGAAATGTTATTAATTGAGAGAACCTGGGCAAGTTCTTTCTCTCGTTTTCTCTTCTGGTTTCAGTAGAGGGATGCTACATGCTAATTTCATTACAAAATATTCAGCAATCACCTTATTAGATGAACTGGATAAGGACCGTAACCAACTGGACTGTTTTTCCTTCTCAGTAGAAGCTGGAGATTGGGAAGCAGAGTCATCTATTTTGGGCTTTTTGGAAGCAGGAGGATCTGAAGGGACCTGAAACAAAGACAGGCAGGAAAAATCAAAGACAGAATTACTCATTTTGCAACCAGCTTAGAAACAGTTATAAGGCAAAAGCAAATTCTGTATTTAAAAAAAAGAAACACTGGGGTTTTTTTTCTGTGTTTTTAAGCCTAAGGGAAAACAAAGGAGTGAAAACAAGGGACAGACACAAACTATGACATAACGTGGCTTCATTCCTTCATGTAAAATACTTCGATAAAGTGTAGATGGTGTAGGAGTGATAGGCAGTAATATAAGTGAGACATTCACACCATGTTGCAGAGAACTATCTGCCTTTTATTATTTTTGTATGCAGAAAGGTAAGGTTTAATGTGGTTGCTGAACTGGAAAGATTATTTTAAACGAGAACAGAACAGACTTTGTTATTCTGTTTGCAGTGGTTGTTATGCCGATGACTTCACTACCCCACAGCTGCAGTGGATTCTGGGGGTGCTGCCAAAAGCTGCTTTGCCTTTTCCACAAGTGGCTCAGCTTGGCCCATAAATCATCCTCAAGCATAAGAAAGCCCTTTGGCAAGCAAAACCCCTTTCCTTCAACACTGTGAAGGAATAAAATTCCTATAGTCCCAGAGTGGCTTGCAAAAAAATTGGTAACTACTGGTTTAACTGGTGCAGTGGGGATACCAGCTTGAAGCCTTGCCAGTACAAACACGTCTATCAGCAGGGAGGGAGAAGGTTCTGGACCTTACGCTGCATCATGACTAGAAATGAGAGAAACACACCACCTCAGTCTCTATTCCTTTTTCTTTCTTTTTGCAATTCCGAACTCTCTACCTTTCCGTATTCCCATTCAACCCAGTTCTACGTAAGGTGGCAGACCCATGCTGCAATAAGTAGTAATGGCTCGTATTTGCATTCATTTTTTTCATCCTTACACTGTACTGTGGTTTTTGTGGACAAACAAGGATTTATACAGGTCTGTCTGTAAAACACAGGCATGGCAACATTTGGAGAGCCTGAAACGCTTCGAAATCAGGCTTATTTGCCAATGAAAGAAGGGATCTTATTTGCCAATGTCTTGTGTTCTGAAATCAGTCCCCTTCAAGGCATCTTAAGCTGGGAACTCAAGAGACTGCTTCTCCAAGTGATTATTCACTCCTGGAAGTTGTGATCTCCGTGACTTTAGCTGAAGAGTATACGAGGAACTGAAAGCAGTACTGTTAAAATGCTTCTGCAGACCCCCAACTGACTTCCAGGCAAACCCAACAGCTCTGTAACCAAGGCAATGCCATCCCTTTTGCACGCCTTCATTAGGAGGAACTTACGACCTCGTGCCCATGAACAGTCCTCTGCTTTCATGGCAGGAGGGCAGTAGCGTGGAACTACGGCTCAAGCCGCTGACTACCTAGCGAACGCCAGTTCATCTGGCAGCACGCACCACTCTTACCGCTCCTGCAGCCCGGTGTGCGTAGTAACATAATCACACCAAGTCTGGAGGTTTTAGTAAAACATCCCCTGGCACTCGGGAGCTTGGGGCAGCTTTCCATATGCAGCAGATGAAGAAGAATGACATGGGTGTGCATCTGTGTAACCCCAAGTACAAAACGAGCTGGTGCCAGTGCCAAATGCCAGCTCCAATGGATTTGCAGAGGATTCTTTCAGCACAGCTTCAGGCTTCCCCAGGGCTGACTTTTGTAGTGGCTGTGGCACGGTCCCTCCCATCTAACTCAGCTAAGAGAAGGCAATTCTACATGCTTTTTGTAGAAAACGTAGGACAATGCGTTGGAAAGGATTTGGTTTTGCTTTCAGAGATGCTGTCTGTGCAGAATTAGTGACAGCATTAGAAAGGTATTTGGCAAGTGACTACTGATCCCAACCCTATCCACTGGGGATGGTGAGCTGTGTGGGGAGGGGAACTTGGGGTGGAGGGCGAGGAGGAAGGGGGGCTTGGAATGAAAAAGGCAACAGGTGGCAAGACTCAGCATGGAAACCCATTCCTCCCCCCCGACCATCCGCGCTCTGCTGCCTGCAGAACATTCTGTGCAGGCAGGCGCGGAGACGGCCACCCTGCGCCCGGCGTGGCGTCCGTACCACGGGGCACGGGAAACTAGCAGCTTCGGGAAACGGAGAGCCAATGTCAGCTTTCAGAAAGGCTCGAGGAGAGAGATTTCAATAGAACGATCTCATTTGCATTTTTAAAGAAATCACGTCGCATCTCCAGCTTTCTCCACCGTCCCCCTTCCTCCCCCTTTAAATCAAGGCTGACACCAACGATCAGGAGGGCTCTGAGCACAAAACATTTCAGTAGACCTGGGAAATGATGCTTAACCTTTTGTGGCTGGGAGCCAGCGTTGATCTGAAAACACGAGCTGCTGCTAGAGAAGAAAGCAGTAAGCAAGGTGCGCGCAGGGGAAAGCCAGGCTTGCCCTCCCCACAAAGACATGGGGCAAAAAAAGGGGGAGAGGAAAACAGGTGCCAAATGGGGTGCGTAGCTGTTTCTAACCTCAACTCATCTCCCACCACAGGCCTCTTCGGGCTTGCTAAGGAACTAGTGCTGTCTGAAGTGGTAAAGCACTTCAGCCGGGCTCAAGAAAGGACTGCTGCCAAGATAATTTTTGAACTGCTGCGATGACCTCCGCCAGTTTTCCTTCCACCCACTATCCCATTGTGTTTGCACAGATCATCTGCTGGTTGAGGCTGGACCTGCCCCTCAGAACGTGCTTAAAAAAGCCCACCACGTATTCACGTTCCATTTTAACCGTGTAAAAACGCCGTAGTTCTGCTGGTTTCCCACCTGGTCTATGAAATACTGAGGCACTACATGTTGCCATTAACCAAGAAACGGAGGTTCACCTCTGAAACTCATGAAACGGAAGGCTTCTGACTACAACCTGTAGCCATTTGATTCAATCTTCGCTCTCGTATACTTCTATCTGCTTGGACATCCCACTGAAAACACGTTTGTCCCCCTCCACAGAAAGACTGTGGCTGTGTCACCAACTCATCAAAAATTCCACCTACAAAATCCAAAGCAGGTCAGTAACGTACTGTGCCACACTCCTCTTGTTTTGCTCAGCCTTCTGATGCTGAACGAGGCAGAAGCAAATTTGCTCACAACTATAGGAAGACACTTCGATGCAGAACAAGACTAGATACTGAACACAAAATCTCTTCGCGTGACTCACCGATTACATCCCACTCTAGGCCAGATTCCAGGCAACAATATACCCCACTCTGACACTTCCAACCCAGCCACAGCAGCCAGCAAACCTTGGTATTGGCTCAAATATGGATGATTTTATTTCATTTTCTCTCTTTGCCAAATAATGAAACATATGAAGTTGCAAAAGAAATACTGAAAATCTGATGTAACTTTTTTGCCGTCTTCATAAATGACTTACGAAAATCTTGAACCCAAACCCTAGAAGACTGGAAGAAATATTTCCTCATTTCCTATTCAGTTTTTCTTCCATTGCAGGCAACTTAATGATTTGCGGTCAAATGGGCTTTGCGCTGGGCACAGTGATTTGTGAATACGTATTTTCTCCAGTCCACAGCTGTAACAAACTTCACGATACAAAGCGGGCCCAGAAATGCTATGTGAAACATTTACTTAAGCTTTTGGACTGTCATTTTCTGAAGCAATTGATTTTTGATCAGATACAGAAAAATTTATCAAGTTACTAAAAAAAAGATTTTAAAAGTACATTCCAAAGGGAAATTCAGGCATGTGAACTTTAACGTCAGCCATTTTAAGGCAAACTGAAATTAAGCAGCCCAATTTGGCCTCTAGCCAACCAGGGCCACATTTGACATGTCGGATCAAATTTTCTACTTCAATTAAGTATTACAGGAACAAACCATGAGACCAGTAGAAAGCATTTTTGACCCCCTACTTCTCAAAAAGACAAGCCTTCCGCAGCGCTCGGTACCACGAACAGAACTGGCGGGCCAAAGCAGTACCGGGTCAGCACCACACCCGAACGTTACATTTCGTTGCAACACAATGGAAAATGAGCCCAGAAAAAATTCTTACATTTTAAGATTTGGGAGTGCTCGCGGATATGATTCTTGGTGCCTGAGGATCCACCAAAATACATTTCCTATAGTAATTCACTTTCTGCTCCCTACGTTATTTCCAACACTGTGTAACCGGGCTGAGTAGATGACTTCTGCTCTCTCCTCGCTCTTGCTCTGTTGGCCCACGCGATGACTGCCGCGTCTGTACGGCGCTGGGCGAGGGGAGCAGCTCTGCACTAGGGGATAAGCTAAGACCACCACACACAGGACAGCACGCCCTTCTGCGAGGACAGAACTCGCGTTCGAGGCCAAACCCTGCGAAACGGTGAAGTCAATGGAACTGCAACTAGTCTTACACAACTGACAGTCTAAGCCTACGTAAAGGTGTGTATTGCCAAACGCGTGCACTTCCCTCTTGTGTAAAAAACCAACCAGCACTACGGAACAAGGCTAAAACTCAGTGGAACCCCGTGTTCACAAAACACCAAGGACCCCGTTAAAATCCTTCAGACTTCAGCGTGCTCCTGGTCAACCCAGGTTTTGCTATGTCGCTCAGCTAATGTGTAGTGATGCACGTGGTAGTGAAAAATGGGCTGCTTTTGCCTTGTTAGGAATGGAAAACGTTAGGTGAAAGGAGTTGAAAATATTCAAGAGACCTCCTTGCCTGTGGAACTTTTAGCTTAGAAATGTACCTTCAGCAAAGCAGCCCATGCTCCAAATCCTGATCTATCCTCTGCCTATAAAAATGTCCCCATAACTGGGTCTAAGTTCGGCATCAAATTCCAAAACCTAATTGAAACCACAGATCTCTGTTAAAATGGGGTAGCGGCGTGTGTTTACCTCTGTCTGTAACCTTTCCCAGGTTAGGTGCGAATGCATTCCCACTATGTGTGGTGAAGGGTGTGAGTGAAAGAATACAAACTCCAGGCTTCTCTGCTCTTCAGATTCAGTGACGCAGTGCCAGCGCGGTGCTGTGGCGGCTCTCCTTGCAGCTTTGAGAACATCTGACAGGCT